ATTCGACTCGTCACTATTTTATTACTTCAACAACGTCATTTCAATACTCCAAGGACACGATGTACGCATAAGAAGCTTAAAGTAGCGTACAGAAAAAGAGAATCGATCTGTTCCGCTGTTGCACTGGTGCGTCTCAATTCGCACGACTTCGCCGGCAGATTTATGGACCCAGTTTCGTTGAAATAATGCCACCGCGCTTTCTTTTTCTTTTTCTTCTTTTTTGTTTAACGACGGAACGACTGGATTCGTTGGGACGTATTTTTTATTCTGCTGCTCGGCAACTGCGAAGACGCTCTCGCGTATTTAGCTATTTATTCGGGCATGTATTGCGACAAGATCTCGCGAAATCAGAATAAGTACGGTGCAAAACGGATTGCTGGCGTCGAGACTCGGGTAAATATATTTCAACTAAGAAACACAAACATTTGCAAACACTATTTCTCTCGACTGTGTTACATACGTTTCACTTGAAATAGTAATTTATTTCTGTATTGGATGAAGTACTAGTTGAAATACTGATTTCACAAATATATGAATATACATATATATATTTTTTAAAATAAGAATCCGAAATATTTCATTGAAATAAATATTTTCTTCGTTGCGCGTAAAATGATACACTTAAATATTATTTCCATGAAATTTTAAAAAATGTCCACAGGCATAGAAATAATTCTGGAAACAAATGACATGCTATTTGAAATAATATTTAAGAGAATGTCATTCCGGAATTAACAATTAAGAAATACATGTCGTGGGAAATAATATTTGAATGAACGTTATCGGAAATAATATTTAAAATAACGTCATTTGAAAAGCGATCACAGGCACGGAAATGATTCTAAAATAAAATGGAACATTCTTTTTCATAAAATATTATTTCAAATAATGTAAAAACGTCTCGGTACCACGTTAGTTAATTTTCCAATGCTTCCGAATCGTGCCACGTCTCAGCCGTCTGCCGAATTTGGCAGAACCCTCCGGTCGAACCCTCGGCAACGAGAGAAAGGGAGCGGACCCTTCGAGGTTCCTGCAGCAGATCGAACGAGCGAGTGCACACGGTCGCGGAAATGTAATCAGTTGCTCACGGATCCGCGAAAACCGTGGCGACATTCTCCGCTTTTCCCGGCTCCTTGCCCTTTTTACTCTCGGCTCGCGATCGATGACGGGCGCGCGTTTCGAGAAAATTTCATCCCCCTCTTCGCGTCGCGCGCCACCCTCGCGCCGCTCTTCACGATGACGAGAGGGAGCATCCTTCGAAAGTCGAAAGCCGATTGGAGTATGTGCGCTCGAATCGCCGCGAACGAAAAGAGGATGTTAACCCACTTGCGGAATCTAGTTTCGCGTGGATCGCGCGTGGGAGGACCACGGTAATTAAAAAGTCTGACGGCCTCGCGCAATCCTTGCCGAGGAATCGTCTCCGTCAATTTATTTGATTGATCCTCTGCGCCCAGCTTCGAATGCATTTGCGAATCGTTTCGGTTTCTTCGAATATTTTCAGTACTTTCAATTTAGTCAATTTATTCGTTTCTTGCTTGTCGCTTTACCTGCCGGCAGTATTTGTAATAGTTCTTTTGAAATCGAAGATCAACGGTTACGGCTTTTTAGAGAAATTGTTCGAAAACTACAGCGATTTAATCCATGATTCGTCAAATTATTTAGGTTGACGTAATGTAACAGGTATCCAAGTTTTAACGTTTTAATGCCAATATTTATCTTAGCACTTCACACTCGGATGTCACCGATACGGCGACGTAAAACAGCATTTCTTTTCAATTATTATTTTGTTTCATACTGTAACATAACCGTGCGAAGTACATAAATAAAACCACAAAATCTTCTATTTATTAATTCCTATAAAATTTCACAGCGGTACAACGATTTTTATTTCGATTCAACTTTGTACAGCAAAATCACAAATTTTACCAAATCTGTTCTAATTCGCTGGTAGCTATATCAGACAAATCTTCCTAGTGCTAAGAAGACTATTAATAAATAAAGAAGAATAAAGAAGTTTCTTTATAAATCTCCAGCAATTTTCTAATTGAATTCCAACGAATTCGAAATTTTCAACGAATTACTTCAAGACGAAATAGAACGCCCATAATTCATATAACAAAAGAAGTGGAAAATCGTGGAACAGCGGCGATAAAAAATCGCAGTAAAGTTTACGGTCCTCTCGGAAGGCAAGAGGAAGTTCTCGGGGGAGGAAGCGAGACTTTGTTTAACGTCTGTTAAATTTCCCGTCGGCACCCGCGCACCCCCGAACTCGTGTCGGCTGGGTGTTCGCTGGTAGAGAAGCATCCTTCGGAAGCTGAAAGCCGATTGGAGCATGTGCGCTTGAATCGCGACGAACGAAAGACGACGTTAACCCACTTATACAATCGAGTTTCACGCAGGCTGCGCCGTAATTCGTGGCGGGAACAGGGTGGCAACACCTCCCGACGGAATAAATCGAAGATGAGATTCTTTTGTTGGAGCCGTTCCCGGTGAAATAGGCTGCGGGAATTTCACCGCACCCTCTTTCCGCGACGCGGAATTCGGAATTGTTAAGCTGGGATCGAACACGATACCTTGTGTCCGCCATTTGCGGGATGAAATTTATAAATACAGCGTTGCTTTTTTAACACTAAATTTACCGATCACCGAAGCCAGGGATTTAACATCTCTTGCCCTGCAACATCGTGTCAGATTCGTTATTAATCTATAGAACATGATCAACTAAGTATGTATGTTATTTATATCGATAAATTATTATTATTATTATTATTATTATTATTATTATTATTATTATATATCTTATTTATACCGAACTTTATATCATCTTTTGAATCGAGTATTTAAACTTCATGCAATTTTTATTATAATAAGTATGAAAAATAAATATAATATATAATATTATATATAATATATAATTAAATAAAAAGAATTTAGTCAATTATTTTCCATAAAAGTATCTCTATAATTCCAATATTATGTCGGATGTTTTCACGAGCCGTTTGTTATCAAATTAGTTGGTCAGTTCCAATTTCATCGAATGGCAAATTATTATGTTTTAAGGTAATCGTGCAAAATACACGTATAACAAGTTAAAAACACAAGATTTTTTTATTTATTAATTCCTATAATATTTCACAGCGGTACAATGATTTTTATTTGAATTAAACATTGTATAGCGGGATCACAGTTTTGGCATTATTTGCTCGGAGTTGCTTGTGAAAAATCTTCCGAATGGCAAGGGTTAATAGTGGAAGCGCCTTCAAACTCCACAACTGCGAAAACGGATAATTAAGGGTTCGCAAAACGAAGTGGTGGCACTTCAACCGCGGTTAGGTGTACTTGAAAACTATTTTCAACTACCCGCCTCGCGTATTGATTATCCGCACGAACCCGTTCTGTTGCATCCGCAAAAATCGACTGTTTAAATTATTTTCAGTGTTGCTGCCACGTAGACAATTTATTAACGATTATAACAGGCTAATTAGTACAGACAACCATTTTTGGCTGCGGATCAAAGTTATTTTCATTTTGGAACAGTCTTTAATAAATAATAAGACAAATTTTATTCAGAAAATAATTACAATGTGCTCTTCAACCGGAAACCTAAAAATTCAAGATTATAATTCTAATTATTATGAAAGCAAATATAATTGTCGAGCTGTTAAATGGGTCATTCGGTAACCCCGCGGGTTCATAAGGTTGCCGACGCCTGAGTTAGTGTTTGAAATATTTGAACGAAAGGTGAGAAAGAGAAGTGGAAAGTTTGGAGCAATTGTTCGCGGGGAAGTTGCGTTAAGCTATAGATTCAATAACTGGAATCGTTGAAGGGATAATATTGCGGAGAATTGAAAAACTGGGGCTGAAACCAAGGGATTTCGTTCTTCCGCGAAACAGAAGCTGCTTCATAGATCGAAGATTGAAATAGTTTTTCCATCGGGTCGTTTCTCCACGGCCGATTGTTTGTCGGGGTAGTTGCGTTAAACGGGGCGGTAACTGTGAGCAACATTGTTCAACTTGATTGCGTTTGTGTGAAATGTCCGCCGTAGAAAGGAGCTCTGCGTTACGACCCATAGAAATAGATTGCGTCGCGGCAGAAAAACGCGTCGAATGGGGGGAGGAACGTGACACCGAAAAGGGTGGAGGCGTAAAAACGATGTGCCGTACGTGAAAAACGCGCGAACATGTGGCCCGTGGATCCTCGGACAAAATGTAATCGAACGGGGGAGCCTTTAACGACGGTCCCGTACAAACTTGGATCGATGAAAGATTAACGTTTGACGTGTATACTCGTCGTAGAGAAGTGGCAGTATTTTGTGACATGACGAATATACTCGTCGCGCGTAAAAAGTAATAACCATTGGTTATTTAAATTGTAATTTTAGTGAAAACAAAAATATGTTCTCTAATTTCAAGGTGTTCTGAATATTTTTAGGCTAATCCTACACGAAGGTGTTTACATTGTTATAAAAATAAGATTAGAAAGGAATCACGATATTGCTGTTCGGCATGCGAAGTGCCATTATAAAGGGTGTCCCAAAATTATGGTACTTCCAGGAAATGAGGGGTTCCTGAGGTCATTTGGAATAACTTTTTCCTCTACAAAAATGTTCTCCGAGGCACCATTCACGAGTTATTAACGAAAAACAGTGACCAATGAGAGGCAAGATCAGCAGGCACAAGATGGCAGAGTCAACGAGCAGTCGAAGACCAGTTCCGCTCATTGGCTCAGCCGCCTCGAACCATCCGAGCTTGCCTCTCATTGGTTACTGTTTTTTCGTCAACAACTCGCGTAAACGATATCTCGAAGAGAATTTTTATAAAGGAAAAAGTTACTTCGAATGACCTCAGGAATCACCCCTTTCCGAATTACGAGACATTTTTGGGACACCCTGTATAGGTGCGCGCTCTGAAAAGGAGGCACCACAGCTAACTGGTTAACTGCGAGAAACAGTGGCACCGATGTTTCGCTCGTCGTTAAACTGCTTTTTATTTGTTTCCAGGGGGTGGTGACAGCAACAAGGGTAAGAGCAAAAAATGGCGGAAGATACTTCAGTTCCCCCACATCTCCCAGTGCATCGGCCTAAAAGATAAGTTGGGTGAGTCGCATGCTTGGAATAAGATTTTACGTCGCCCGGAGGATTCCCCTTTAATCGTAATTTAAGCGAGCAACACTGGTTATGTACATATTTTCTTCCGGCTTACCGCTAGTTTCTTGCTCGTACGATACGTGGGCGGTGTTACAGAATTAAGGGCGGAGCGACAAACCGGATCGGAGAACTATGTTTGCATAAAACTATAGACTTACATTCCAGAAGACATTTGTTTCATTGTGTTAGCGAAGAGTAACGTTCATTTTACAAATTACTTCATCAAATTTATTGTTTTCCTGTTTGTGTATGGCTCGGTAAGTTGCGCTAAAGAATTGGGGGCGGAGCGACGAGCAGGATCAAAGAGCTGTATTTGCATAAAACTAGGCTTATTTTCCCGTAGACGCTAATTTCGTTGCGTTCGTGATAAATGACGTTAATTTTACAAATTTATTCATCCGATTTGTTCTTGTCTTACCTGTACGGACCGGTAGGCGGTGCTAAGGAGTTAGGGGCGGATCGACGAACAGGATCAAAGAGCTTACACGCGCATAAATCCAGTCTTATTTTCGAAACGGAAACCAAGACGCTAGTTTTATCGCGTTCGTAATAAATAACGTTGATTCTACAAATTACTCGATCCAATTTGACGCTTTTTTATTACCGTGAACGTAATGGGCGGGGCAGTGGGCGTGGTTAAATCGTAGTACGCCGAGCCGCGTACTACGGGAGACTCGAAAGACAGTCATCGAATTATTGTTTAAACTGGTTTTCTGTCATTTATTGAAGAACAGAATTAGTCGGCGGGACAAAGGTTCGACACCAAATTAATTTTCATAGCGACCGCCCCCGAAGAGCCGGCTTTTCGTTTCCATCGCGGTCGAATTAGCTCGGAAAAGAACGCACACGCGCGTTCGCTAATATTCGCCGGTGCTGTTATAATCAAACCATCCTAGCACCCGGGTATCCTAAACGTGTATTCCTACGATAAATAGCGAGCGTGTTCGTTAACGAAACGATCCCGGCATATTACGTTATTTAATCCTCCTATTCTAATCCGCCGGCGATAACGATAATAAGTAGACACCGATAAGAGGGGTAGAGCGAGAGACTATATCCCGAGCGGATACACCGATTAGAATATCGAGCGTATTGCGATCGAACCAATTCGATGGATTTTCTCTCCGTCGATCTATAAGCTCGTCAAAAAATCTCTGGAATCGAAAATTCAGAAACGTCTGTTGCTAAAATTAGTCGTTCGTTTTTCTTGATTCAATTTGATCATTTCGCGAGTTGTAAGAATTCTTTTAACAACTTGCTGCAGTATCGATAATCGGGTTAATGGAGATCCATGAAATGATTCATGGTGCATTGGCTTTCTACGTAATTACTGACGATCGTCTTTGGAACTAAGTCGGAAAGTATCTACAAAAATTGTTCAATTATCAGTAATTCATCATTATTAAAAGATGTTGCTATTGCGATATTGTCGTAGTATAGTAATTTCTCCTTACTTCGCGCTCAGATTGTCGTTAGATACCGAAGTCAAATGGGGATGTACTTTTTAATCATTATTTCTAAATTCTACAGATTTTGTTTATGGTTTTTGAATTAATTGTATACAATAGATTGATGAGATTTAAAATAGTGAAAGGAATAAAAAAAATTGAAACATACATTAGTTTCAACTTGTTGAAATTATTTAAGAGAGATCGAGGAAGACAATCTTCATTTTGCATAATGATATTAAAACGAGATTAAAATAATTGTAACGACATTAAAATAATCTGAAAAGTGATACAGTAAACTCAGATTGCACACAAAAATGAACAATTCGAGAAGAGAAAATACGATTATTCGAGCCTTGCGTCTCGTTTTTAATAGTTGTTGACAATCGGTAACTATAAAAACGAGCAGCGAGGCTCGAATAATCGTATCTACTCTTCCCAAATTGTACATTTTCGTGCGCAATGTGAGCGCGAATTAGGGAGAAATTACTGTATTTACGCACTAATAACAAAGTCGATAAAAGTGATACGTACCTTGAAGAGTTTGGCTGTGCAACGAATGAAATTTCTTCGCAATTACTAATGGAAATGAGATCGGTAAGCTAGGGATGAGGATGAGATCATTCTAAAATTAAGCGCGATTATTATCGAACAACGTGTAATAAGTGGTCGGCGTTAATCTCGCGGCCACCGAACAGATCAGTCTAATCCGGATCACGACGTAATGGAATATTGTTTTCACGATTTCCGCAGTTATCTTCCCGGGAAGATAGGGCCGAAAGTGATCGACGTATCTTCAAATGAACAAGTACATATCTATATCGTAGTGCTCAAAGGGGCCGCCGAACGATCAGACCTAATCCGAACGAATCTCTCTGCAAATTCCCCGGGGAGGTTGAGCAAACACTGAAAACGTGAATTCGATCCGAGACGCGTGTAGTATTTACCGAGACGACTATTAGTTCATCCGACTCCGCTGGTTTATGCTCGTGGACGCGGTTCTTTTTAAACCGTCCTGGAAACGTTCGCTCCCGGACCGACGCCCATAAAAATACCATGGGGTTGAAGCAGTCTCTTCCTTCTCCCTGGATTCCTCGTAAAACTTTTATTTTCTCGGTCCGGAATCGACGAAACTTTCGAGTAGACTGCCGAATGTTTGCACTCGGCCAATTAGCGGGTTTATTATGCGAGGAAATAAGATAAAATAGGCGGCCGCGCGATATTCCCGGGCCCGGGAACCACCAGGATGTTAAACATCGAACACGAATTCGACATAGTTTAACTCGAATTCTTATTATTTAGATTCACTGTACAAATAGTAATATAATAATCCACTTATTAACCGTTTGCACTGGAAGCTATTTTAACGCTAAATCGAAAATCATTTTTCTGAGCTACGGTATTTCTATTTTACATAATTTTCGGGCATTTTATGTATATGAAACTGAGTCCGTTCGGTCGCGCAACAGTTACATGCTTTGACAGTTTCTTAAATATAAACAGACGCGATAATGCAAACATTATTTTGCAACGCGACACGACAATTCTTAGCGGTGCCTCAGACTCATCAATCGAGTGTAAACGGTTAACAGTTCTCGTGGTCTCTGATAGTTTGCAAATTGGACGCTGGACGCTCGATAAGCGAGGGACTCGGGGCTACGGGGCGTGGCTCGCACTTATCTGGCGGCCAATCACACGCGGCATCGATGCACTCCAGCCAGACGACAACATTGTCACAGCTATAATGATTAGAAGAAGATTGCGGATCTTTATGCAAAATAATAATTGTCTAAATTAATCGTCAGAGTCATAAGTTAGACAAACGTGTTTTATTCGTTTCAATAATTGTATCAAGTTAACAGTAACATAGCAATATGTTTTAATTTTTCTAATGATGAATATTCATTTTTTTCCTAGAGATGCATACAATCCACAATGTAATAATTACAACTCTTTTCTCCTTTGTAATTGCACAGAAGTAAACAGAAAATCTACTGCACTATTTACATTCGATTTCGAATGTTTATAAATATTTAACTTTTGTTAAGAGTAAAAAGAAAAGAAAGACAATTCTTTTATCAAACTTGAAAATTGATGTTTGTTACAATCCATTAACCCCTTCTAGTAATAATTTATTGAGTACAGCTGTTATTCTGTCCTTTAAAATTAGACACACAATAATTTTCTTTCGCTTCTAAGAAATGATAGCAATCAAAAAATTTCTAATCGCAGTAACTGCGAGGAAAATGGTATGTCAAAGGGTTAAGTACGCCAAACTTCGTTAGAATCTACGGGATGCAACACGATTACAAAGATAATCGCTCTAACAAATCTTGTCCATTTCACCGTCATATTCTTGAACAAGTTGTTCGACGAGTGCGACTCGGTGATTTCTAGTAATAACTAGTTAAAAGTAGCCGCGTTTCACCGTCTTTTCAAGCAGAAATAAAATTCCGTTCTATTATCGCCAATATCTAACATTTGATATAATAATAATAATTATTATTATTATCTAAAAATAATAATATAAATAAATAATAATTATATAATAATATAAATAATAATAATAATATAAAATAATAAAAATAATAATTATTATTATTACAATAATATTAATTAGTAATATTTAACACACGATATAAATTGTCTTTGTCTTCCAAAAAATAATTACGATCGAAATGGTTCCAATAACTGCAACTTCGAAGAAAATGCCGAGGGGTTGATAAAAGAAAGCGACTTCTGTTCCTCTCAACAGACACGGAATATTTCGTTCATAAAGACGCGCACTGCATTTGCAACAGACGGATAGAATTTCAATTTAGAAAGGGGGACGTTTGCATTCTGTTTCCACAAGAAATTTTCAAGTAAAGCCACCGATGTCCGACGCAGCTAAACCGTTTAGTTTGCCCGGGAAATCGGCTTGCGGGACAAACGAAAGCAACTCGGCCGAGACAAAGGGACGAAATATTAGGAAATACATACGTTCGTACTGCACCTCGGGGAACCGCAGCTTCGTACGTTGGAAGCCGGCCGGAGGAAACGGTCGGTCATAAAAACGGACGAGCTCGGATCGAAAGTCGTTCGGCAGATCGCGGAAAAGGAGCGATGTCCGCGATTTTTCCGAGCCGTCACTCGACTCGTTTCCGAAACTGGGACACCGTATCTCGGGATGAAACTCGTTTCTTTCCGCGCGCGTTGCTTCACCCTTCGTCTCTCTCTTTCTCTCTCTTCTTCTCTATTTCTGCTCAGCTCTGCTTTGCTCTGCTCTGCTGTGCCGTGGCTCTTCTCCCTCGTTCGGTGAATTTCGCGGTTAATCAACGCGCGACCCCACCGTTGACCTCGCCTCGGATTATTGAATCACGTCGCCGCGAATCTCGCAGAGGTGTGGGCGGCCGGCGCTAAACGAGGATAGACAATGTCTCGCGCCTCTCGGATAAGAAGCTATTGGGCTTTGTTGTCTCAGTTAATTAAACCGTAATGCCCGATCGTTGTTTCGTCGCC